AGACTGCGGGGGGGGGGGCGGGGGGTGGAACAGGGAAGAAAGGTGCAATGGTACAATTGCATCCCACCTGAATTCTTGATCTATTCAGAGCCAAGAGCCCAATCCTGAAGAAGCCAGAATGTCTGGTCCCCCTTCTCCAGTAGGGCAGGCAGCCAGCAGTGCCTCTTGAACCCAATCCCAGCCAAGCTGCTTAGTCCCTCTTCACAAGCTGATGAAGCCATTTTTAAGCTGGGTTTACTTTTCTTCATCTTCCCCACTCCCGCAAAAGAGCTGTGTTTCCAATTCAAAACAAGAATTCAGATAAGAGCCACTTCAGGGGCTCTTATGACCTACATTATGTAGGTCAGACTAAAATTACCACAATGGTCCAATCTTTCTTGTAATCTAGGACTTCACAATGGTGTAAATGAGAACACATCATTTACTAACGATAAGTTTGTCAGTGACATTTACATTTCAGTCCACAGGTTTGGCAGAAAAGGGCTCTGAGATGTTTGATTTGACAATACAATACAGAAATTCTAAAAAACACGCTAGAGAAATAACAAGCAGGCCAGAGGTCAAGTTGCAAACAGAACCCTTAAGAACTAAAAGCTAATATATTGACACCTTTTAAATAATTGATAAATTACTAAAATGTTTAAATGAATAATTTAAGAGCTAGATCTTTTTAGCTGCCTTCTAGTAGTAGCGGTTCATTTAACAGCTGCACTTATTAAAAGAAGATAGTACTTTAGGCGATTCTTTATGCTTTACCTTTAGGAATATTTTTAGGACACATACAAGGTTTTCAGTGCCTCTTAAACCATTATTCTTTCACCGGGAGAAAGATCAGTACTGAAATCCCTTGTGAGGGGCACGATGAAGCTGACATAAGTATCCTAGTTCCATAACCCTCAATTTGTCGCACTTGTGTAACACATGCATGAATGTAATTATTTAAGTCTCTGCTTAGTTCTCTGCACCAAACTTGTTTAATCAAATTTGTTGGTTGAAGGTAAAGTATTATGCAAAGAGCTAAATGTTTGCCCTTTGATACATACTAGAGATGTCCTTTTTTCTTCAAGCTTTTGTCCAGCATCAAAAATTCGATTCCACTGTATTTTATCAACTCATTAATAAAATACAATTATATCACTTGGATTAAACAATGTATTTAAGACAGCCCTCTTAAGAGTCAAGAAGTCCAAAGAAGATGCAGTCCTTTCTTTCCTTCCCCCTATACTGCAGGAGCTCTCATTATCTGTTATAATTTTATCCATCAGCATGGGCGGGTGAGAGACACTTGTGTGGGGGGTGGGGGAGGAGGGAAGAAGGGGTGACCAGGGCGCAAGTATAGAAAGGAGGGGGACTGCTCCTGCCCAACTTCAAGCTTAGGTCACATGCTTCAGCTGCGTGGGGTGCCAGCCAGACTTGGTCAGGGACTGTGGCAGCAGTGGAAGGTTCTACTCTTTTTGCACTTGCTCCCTGCCTGTCCTCTTCAGCCAAGGAGCAGGTGGCTCAAGGGGGGGGGACTGCCCACCATCACCACTGTTCCCAGCAGAGCCCAATGCCCTGCACAGCCACTCCCCACAGTCCACAGCTAGAGCAGAGCAGGAGTGGCTCTGGGATTCCCCCTGTCCCCAGGTCAGCTAGGGACAGTGGCAGTAGGCAGTGCCCCCTCCCTATCATGTGCCTAGTTCCTGCCTGGCCCCCTGACATCCCCATCCAGCTGCAAAAAGTGCCTGTGCAGAGTACCAGGCTCCTCTAGGAACAGTAGCAGCAGCAACCCCATCCCCCCTTCCTGCACTTACTCTCTGTTCCTCCACCCTCCCCCAGGCACCCCCTGCTACCAAGGTGGAAAGAAAGGTCACTGTGCTACATAGTAGAAACGGGATGCAACAGTACCACCATACCCCTCTGAATCTGCCCCTGCCATCAGGCACACATTAAGTATCTTCTAGCATGCCAGAACATTATTAATATTTTGGGAGCATTCTATTCTACATGTTTGTGAAATAAATTCCAGGACTTGAAGTCTATAGGGGGAAAAGTGAATGTATAGTAGAAAGTGCCACTAGATTTAGATCCTACTTGAGCAAGGTACTGAGACAGATGGCTATTATATTTTTAATGCAAAAAAGGGAGAGGGGCGTACAGGTGGAAAGAAGGAGGACCAGTTAAAACAGCAGTTATGTCCCTCCCTGCTCAGAGAAAGTAAAAACAAATTGGTGAAAAGATTTCTTCAGAATTTTAATATTGAATAATTACAGTTTTCTTTAATACCATATAAAATGTCAAAAGTACTTTGCATAAGTTTTATGCAAATCACAGATATTTCTATTACTGTAAAAATTCATCATGGCACTGAGGCAAAGGGCTAGGGGGTAACAAAAGATGGGAAGGGTTTGACGAATATGAAAGGGAGTTGGGGTTTTTGTCAAGAGCATTTGGCTAGTGGCAATAATGGTGGGCTTTGGTCACTGCAGAGGAATGAGAGAGCACCTGCTCTTTTGTTAAAAAGTGGACAGAAATAAATCAGCAATTTCTTTCCTTTACCTTCCAATGCACCAAGTTGAACTCCCTTTAAACTAAGAAATGAGGCTGAGCTCAGCATAACCCAGGAGATGCACATTCCCACCTCCATTTACTGGAGACAGAATGGAGCTTTCTTGCACTTAAATGTTCTGCCAGCTTTGCCTCAGTCAAGGTAACAACAGCATTCCTACCACATTTCTATGTGGGAGGCAATCTCTATACCCAAAGCTGTAAGAGGGTCACAAAAAGCCCAAAGCCTTTGTTACAAATAACTATATTTTTTACATTAAATATTCCAGCTTTCTTGCAAGGCAGGTTCTGTTCAAAGTTCAGCAGTCACACAGGTAGCATTTTGCCCATACACCAAAATTTCTCCTCACCTAAGGCTAGATTTCACGCATGTAAAAATGTCACATTTCTATGCATGAGATTTTCAGTAGCAAAAATTAGCAACAGTATATGACTCTACAATAAATATTCATTATTAAAGACATGCAGCAGCAGAGTTACTTAACCTACAGCCATCCAAGGAAAATTTTCTGTCACTAAATTTATTAAATGAATAATTTAAGAACTAGATCTTTTTAGCTGCCTTCTAGTAGTACCAGTTCATTTAACAGCTGCATTTATTAAAAGAATATAGTGCATTAGGCAATTCTTTATGTTTTACCTTAGGATATTTTTAGGACACATACAAGGTTTTCAGTGCCTCTGTACCTCTTAAAAAGGACATATTTTTTACTCCAGAAAAGCACAAGTAAACTTGCTGTACTGATTGCAGACATTTATACATGCCTTTCCAGACTTCAAGAGGGAGTTTTATTCAAGGAGTGGTTACAAGCCTTGACCTCCTTCAGCTGGCAGTTTCATTTCTGAAGCTTAAATGACTGACTATCTCATCTATTAACTGATTTCTCCTTGTGATCCACTTGAATCATTTTTCAAGGTAACAACTATTGGTTTTCCTTTCAACAGAACTACAACTAGAAGTTTTGTACCCTCTCAAAACTTCTTATTTGTGGTTCACAGTAAGTTAGTAGGTTTTTGTTTCTCAGTCTGCTATATTTTAATTATTTTGGATTCATCCTTTGGGAAACATTTTGAATGTTTAAGCCAACATCCAATTCTTTTCAGGTTTGATTTTTTGTCACATCAGAATATTAATGCCATTAACTATTTTGAACTAACCCCCCCCAAACCAGGATGAAAACGCCTTTTGATTCTCAAGCATACTGAACTTTAGTGCATTTTAAAGGCACAAAATGATTAAGCTTATGTTATGAAGGAGAGAACATTTCAATTAACCAGGAAAAAAACAAAAGAAAGAAAAACAGGCAGATAGGTCCTGCTTCTTGACTTACTGGCAAGCAATCCGATTCCATTTGCTAATGATCCAACCCATGCAGTCTTTCCTTTCCCTTCTCCAAAAGCATCCAGCCATTCCAAATACAAGACTCCAACTGCTAGCGGAGATCCATAACACAAGAACTGAGTAAAGAAGGAAACTACAACTATCACCCAGCCCCATCCACCATCTGGAGGCTTCTGAAATACCATTTTATAGGATGAGCCAAGAGGTATCTGCAGGCACTGTGCAAAAAAGAACAAAACAGAAAAACTGAGATAAGATTTAAGTTTAATTTTGTTAGCATAATCATACAATTCTTGCATGTGTACATATTCACTATACTAAGAAATACACTTGCCAAAGCAACACACCAGTTTTCTGACAGTAAAAGACAAATTTGCATAGGAACTATAATCCTATCAAACACCACTTAACACTTCTAACAGTGCACAATATGCAATGTTACATAATGTATGAAGGTAAAATTCCATGTCTATGCCACAAGCAAAGAAATTTAGAATGTGTAAACCTGGGTTATCAGAATATAAAACAGACACAAAATGACTATAAAGGTTTAACTAGGGATGGACACTGGTCCAGGGAATGACATATGACACTAGAAGTCACAAGAGCCACATTTTATTCCTGGCTCTACCTTTGGCAAAATGTGTGACTATAGACAATTCTATGCTGCAGTCTGCCTTCTGTAAAATGTCAAAGCTATTGCAGAGCCCCTTGGAAAAAAGTGTTTTCAGACCCAGATATATTATAAATAAAATAGTTAGGTTTTAATAAGTTTAAGTTGCTAGGATAAGACATCTGTAGCAGTGTTGGATTTGAGGAAGATGTAGAGACAAAATAACACAATCTGAGAGTACTTCTAACTTTTACCACTAAAATTTAAGGATTATTTGTAAATATTCAAGGAATATTTACAAAAAATAATGGGGTAGACTAAAATAAAAGAGTTCAAATGTTACAATTCTAAGCATAATATTCCCAAATTGAATTTTCATTTATGAAAAAGTGTTACAAGAGACCTTAACATTGTTTCTACAAAGTCTCACTACAGAGACAGAGAATGGCTGGAATATAGATGCAATTGATTGTTAGTTTAGAGAGTTAACTTACAGAAGATTGACTCCAACTTCCTAGAAGATATTATTCTATTTTTACTTGTTAATTCTACCTGTGGAGAAATAAGATAGAGAGCTCTTCATCAAAAATTATCAAGTGGCAGTAAAAGAAAAAAAATCGTGATGTCAGCACGATCCAATAGATTAATATTGCACTCTAATAGAAACTTCAGAAGTAAATTAAGTCATCTAAATGCAAAGAGACACTAACCTTCTCTCAGTTATAGAGTGGCTGACAGCAGCCTTGGATCCAAACAGAGCAAAAATGTAGGCTATAAACATGAAACAAACTTTGACCATTTTATGTCTCTTTAGGAATGATTTACAGAGTTTAAGATACTGATTATCTTTCAGAAATATACTATTGCCAGTTAGATACCCAAATTTGTGATCCAATTCTTTAGTTTCTTTCCCCTCTACTTTTTTCTCTGGTAAATTCTGGTTAATACGCTTTTCCTGATACTGCATCAGCATATCTGTTGTTACCTCCCTTTTTGAAATGCCTCTCATATTACCAAAGCACCATATCAAAGGCATCAAAAAGTTGTTTTAAAATTTAAGAATAAAGTCTTCTGGGCACAGAATACATCCTTGTTTTAGTACAAGATTATGCATGTGTATCCATCTAACCTCTCACAGAGGTTGTACATATATATCCCCTTGCATTAAAAGCCTAACATATTTGTATTCAACTGTGGCAGTTAAGTGGTGATTATAATGGTTTTAAGCAAGTCTCTTCAGAAAACATGAAAAGTAGTGTTAAGAAAAAAAATTAAAAATTAGCTATTTTGTTTTTAGAAGAGTCATATAATAAATAAAACATTAGTACAGTGCATGTATTTTAGCTGCAGTATTGAGCTCTTAATTCCTCTTGCCTTGAAGCTCTGAAATTTGGCATATTAGCTCAGCAAAAACAGTTTAAAACAGTTTGCTTGGTTGTTTGTTTTTTGTTTGTTTGGTGTTTTTGCTCCAGACCACTGATGGGGACATGGGGGAAAAAGAATGCAAAAGCTTTTTTTCATCACAGGGTTTGTCACATCCTAACTGTGAAATCAGGGGGAATAATCTGGATCAGATCCTCAGCCAGTATAAATCTAAATGGATTCATTGACTTTAGAGGAGCTCTGCCTGTCTGGAGGCAGTCAGCACTGTGCTGTGATGACATCTTTCCCCACCTCAGCCACTAAATTAAGAAATGATAGTTTTTAATAGTTAGTTTTAACTTTGGTATATAATCTTTGTAAGAGGTCTTGTGAAAAGTATACAATCTTTAGAAAATAAACAACACCCCTCAACATTCAATACTATGTACTGAAATTGCACATACTTTCATTTGCACAACAATATTTCTATTCACATGAACTTTTTTCTTTATTAAAGAAGATAGAAAAGGAAGAAACTGTACAAACTTATTATTCTTACTAACCAAAAATGTTTTACCACAGTCATAAACCAAATTTCTATTATTTCTGTTACAAGCCTGATTTCATCCTCACCTTGCAACACAAAAGTTATTTCCACTAAAAAAAACTGGTGCCATGTAGCAAACTTTTTTTTGGTTGTAATTTGGATACACAATGTTGACATAGGAGAAATTTACAACCATAGCTAAAAGCCAAAAACCACTCTAAACTTCAAATAGAATAGCAACTTCAAAATGTAGATTATTTCAGAAATCATGAGCACATTACTAAGTTTCTGACCTGAAGAGTCATACTTGAGAAGTTAGTTATGGGTGACTTGGAAACTTCAGAATGGTTCACTTGGCTCCAGAATTACAGTGAATGCAAGGTGACTTATAGACTTAGTAATTCTGTTTCTTTTACTGAAAAGAAATCATCTTTAAGAGAGTCTATCACAGTGAACATTATTTAACAAAACCAACTGCAAGAGAAACCTCCATGACATCTTTGCAAGCTGCCCTCTTATCCAGTCCTGCTGACAGCCAGAGCTTGCAACTTTTGGTTACTAAATCCTGGCATCTTCTCCATCTCTCACAAGCCACTAGTGGAGACAAGACACCAACGGAATATTCCTTTTTGTACATTTCTCAGATACTTACTTTTCAGAGCTGTCAGGAAGAATTTGTTTTGACGGAACAGATAGAAATTTTATCCCTGTCCCTTCTCTAAGGAAGAGAAGTCCTATTAAGGGGCATATATCCATAGAAGGCATTCTTGTGCGCAGAGAAAGTTCTAGGAAGTGAAATCACAATGTATTGTATTTGGCAAATGAGTAGGGAGGAGGGAAGTAGAGGAAAGAGACTGTAACTAGCCATCATGCCTTGCTTGATTTTGATTTGAAGCAACCTCTTTGAGATTAAACTGCTGCCAGGAACATGGATATTTTACTACTTCACAGGTGCAAACTATAAAAGCTGTAAGTGTAGTGTATTAGCAGACTATTGTAGGCAGCTGATTTTCTAATTCCCTTGATTAAACAATGCTCTTAGACCTATAGGGATTCTAACATGCTCCTGCTCTTCTGAACTACCACCAGCTCAGACAGCTGGAACAATTTTCAAGTTCTGCTGGGGTCACCTATTCTCCCCCCCACCCATCAGATTCTATGGTCATTCCAACTCAAGTTCTCTTCTCTAGTTTGAATACAGTACCCACATCTGGATTTGCCTACATGCGATGGCCTCTCCCCCAATTTTTTTGTATGCAGGAGATGCTGGAGCATGATAACGTTTGCAACAGGCCTGTCTGCAGACCCTCAGTAGAAGAAACCAGGCATGGAGCCTATATGGACAATGGTAGCAGTTGGGGAAATCAATTCACAAAATTTAGTTGGGAGTCTTAAAAGCCACACAGTATTAAGATCAGGAGATTACTATCCTAGTATCAGTGCTCTGCAAGGCTTTGCCTCCAAAAGCACATCACACTTTTTTTTAAATCTTCATTAACTTTGGAAATACTTATTGGTAAAAGTGATCAGCAACTCCTGCATACAAGAGTGCCAAATCATCAAAAGCTATTAGAAATTCAAGAAAGAAAAAGCAGAGTTCAGGTGAAACTTTAAGGAAACTGAATCACTTGAAAATATGGAAATGTATACCAAATACATTCATAAGCATCGGGGTAACCCATTACTGTAAAAAATTTAAATCATGAATTAATCATGAACTCTAACCACAAAGGAGGAAGGGGGAAAAAAGGTACTCGATAACAGCTCTACCAAAAGACCCCCTCTCCCCCTGCCCTACAACCTGCAGCTATAGTGTCTTAGATTTGGGGAAGACATCCAATTGATATAGTTGCAGTGTAGAATACTGGAGATCTACACCACAGTGAACTGGTGCTGTTACTAGCTACAGTATATCATCAAACTTTTTCATATACCCTCACAAACTTGGGCTAAAAGATACTCGGATGCATTATTTCAGAGCATAAGGATTCCATGGCATGTGGCCTTTTACTAGAGAGAGAAGAAGAATTTTTAGTTTACTATTTGCCTAAGAAGCATGCTATTTTCTGTGGACAGCATATGGCTGCAAAGAAAGCAGAAGTCAGCACAACCAACGTATGGTTAAGACTTAAGCCATTCCAGTTTTGCAGGGTATTGGTACACAGTTAAGTACCTAGGCCATAAGCTCTCTTATTTTCAAAGAGTTTAATTATGATTAAAGACAGTAAAACATGTTAAAATAAACCTAAAATCTTGAAGTTTTACTCTGAAGTAATGATATACATTGCCAACTTTCACTACAGCTTACATGATAAAACCTTCTCCACAAAATTGTAATTTAATTATTTCTCATTCACTCATTGCATTAGATACTGGTCATTATTATATGCAATTATCATAAAGTTGCAATATTTTTATTAAACAAAAACAAACATTTGCACATTTATTTTCTTAAATATGAAATGTTACCTATTTACTTGATATCAACTCTTCTCATTTAAAAATATTGTCCCCTATTCTTCCCCAGTACTTCTTGCTTTCACAATTTAGTCTTCTCCCCTACCCTCTCTTTTCTTTTAATGTCTTTCAACCACTTACACTCCTTGGTTTCTCTTTAGTAAGTCACCTATGAAACTCAACAATTAGCGTTTTTCTCCACCACATTTTTTCTGTGTAATAGTGTAAGAGACCTACAAGTCAGTCAAGTGTTCTTCCTTTAACATGTACACAAAGGGAAAAAATGAATTTAGACTAAGCACATATATGGAAGAAGCAGCATTTAATTAAGCCAAGTTCATATAGTCCAACAAACATAACCAAATTGTACCCCATCTCAATTTTTGTTTGCTATACAAGAATCAAGTGGTAAACGCTAAGCCAAAAAACCCAATGTATATCACACAGCAACCCTAGGAACTATAATTATTCAGAAAAGTCCTTTCATTCAACTAAATACTAGAGCTCCCAGCTGCAAAAGTAAAAAAGAAAGCCCAAGACTTATAATGTACAATCCATAACTACTCCTTGCCCATGCTCTTGCCAAGCCCATTTGTTCTCCTGAGAGAACCCTTTTCTCACTTAGTGACAGTTTTATAGCAACCAGTTCCTCTTATCAGTCTCCCCCCACCCCTAATAAAGTCTTCCCCTGCCTGGTTCAAAGAACAAGAAGTTACCCAGAAAACGCATTATCCTAAGATCAGTTTTGCAAATAAAGGATGATCCGCAGGGTGGCACTTACCCAGAGATCATTAGTGACCAGGTCTGGATGCCAGGCTCCCTACTGCATGTTCTTTCCTGTCTGCCACTTCGGGGTGTTCTGCCCCTGATGGGACCTTTTGGAAAGAAAGCCTGTAGCATTACAGGGAAATCCGAAGATGTGGATTATTCTGTAGTGGATTATTAGCAAATCACCTTAACTTTCTTTAGAGTCCTTCTGTGAACAACCCCTTGTTAACTGACAACTTCATGCATACAACAGTGTAGCAGAATATACTTGGTGCGGTTTATTAGTGAACTGCCCACTCCCCCACACACCCCGTAATTGAAAGACACTGAAGTTAAGGGGCGGGGGGGGGGCGGCTTGTGCTAAACCAGTCGCATGCTGTGCCTGCCTTCCTAGTGTTTCGATCACACTGGGCGAGCAAAGGCAACGGGGAAGTCCACTCTAACTAAGCCCAGGTCTCTGCCCTTCTATTGTTCCGCTGGGGCAATAGGGCTCCCTCCCGCTCCGGGGCTCGGACACCCACGCACAGCCCCGGGGCCCAGCCAGGCGGGAAGTGCACGGCGCCGCGAGGCCCCTGAAAGGACTCAGCCCAGGCGGGGCGGCCCCAGCACCAACCAACCACCCCGACCCGACTCCGCTGTACCTGCGAGCGCCGGAGGGTGGGTGCCGGGAGCGCCGCTTTATGAGCGGCCGGGGCTGGAGCAGCCGCGGCGCTCGGCTCCATCCCCAGCCCCGTGTCCGGCGGGCAGCCGCGGCGCGGGGGGACGGGGCCGGTCCAAACCGGTTGTAACTAAGCGAGTGGCTGTGGGGAAGCTGTGGCGGCGGCGCGGGCGGTAGGGGCGCTGCTGCCGCCGGAGCCCGAGCCGGAGCCGGGGACAGCCGGAGGGGCCGAGCCCTCCTCCACCACCTGCCGCATCCCGCGGGCCCTGGGCCAGTCCCCCCCGCGCTCAGCATCGCCTGTTCGGCCGGCTTCCTGCGGCTCCGCGCCTGGCAGGCAAAAATCCCGAGCTGGAGCTGGGCCCGGGGGCTTCTGCGGGGACAGTGACTGGGTGCAACCAGGAGCTGCTGATAATTGAACACTCCCCTCGCCCCACAGTCCGTCCTGTCATCGCTGCTGGCGGCCCTCTGCTCTGGGGAAGCCTGAAGGAAAAGTCCCTCGCTGCTGCTGCTGGCTGCCCGCCCCAGGGGAGGGCACGGGGGTGCCCACGAGCAGGCTTTCAGCTCCTGGTTTCACCCACCCCATGCACTTGACCCAAGTGGCCGCACCAGTCCCTCAGCACTAGGCTGATGCCCCGGGAAATGACCCGTGGAAAGCGGAAGCCCTAGGCAGTGGTAGACAGTACCCTTAGCTTTCTAATTAGGTCAGTGTTTGTCATGGCACTTCACCATGGTTACCAACCTTGTTTCTTCTGCTACCCCTTCCATTCCTGGTGCCCAGACTTTTTTAAGTTTTGTGCTTAGATGATCAGCTCCTCAAAGGGAGGGCTACCTGCCTGCAGTTCTTCATTCTGAATAGGCCAGGCCAGGCCAGGGTCTGTGTAAATGGCCCAAAGGTGTGATGCCACTGGGGTAGATGTACCTGAGGCCCCCTCTGCACCTTACACCTCAGGCTTGATTAACCCAGTCATCACACCTTAAATTGTGACCGATTAATGGCATGATAAAAGGAGCAAGCTACAAAATTATTATCAGATTATTACTTGAATGAGGGCCCAGGTGCTGAGATAACTTTAAATTAGGTTGTGGCACAGTAGAACTCAGCACTTCAGAGCCACCTGTGTATCTAAGCCTGAGGTGAGGAAGGTTTTGTAGCCCAGGCTGAACCCTCTGTTGTAACGGTACAGCTGTTTTTGGTACCCCAACTTTCCAGTGTCAACACAAGCTCTAGTCAAATCACACCTCTAGACTGCATTGTAGTCATTCCCTTGAGACAGAACTTAAAAGAGGGATCCTCATCAATCTTAGCTCCCAGGGGGTATGAATAAGCCATTGTTACAAACTTATGTAACCGTATCCTGAACTGGCTTTAAACAAGCTATGAGCACAGGCCACAAAACCCACATAGGAATCTAGATAACTGTCCAGGGGATTAGTCCATGCTGAGTTCCTGCTATTGTCTACACTATCACCAGTGCCTTAGTTCAAAGCTTGCTCTGATAGATCTATGCAAGATCCTACCACAGTAGTTGCTAAGGTGCCTACAGTGAGCTTTTTTCATATTTAGTTTATCCATTTTCCTTTAGACTTCTTGTCAAGACCGGATTAATTAGCCATGCTAGCCTGAAGTTATGCAGGGCAATGTGGCACCTTGGTGCATTTATAAATGGGTTCTGGGAGTGGAAGGGTGCTTTAATTAGAGCGGCGCTGAGAGCCACTAGAGCCCAGAGTGTCACGTGTATTAGTGTCCCCATACTGAAAAATGATGGTGGGGGCATTTTAACTAAAGCTTGTTGACCCTTGCTGTTGAAGCAGGGATTCCACCCCGTCCCCACCAATCTCCCACAGCACAGACCCCAGCCCCACGGACCCTAGGCATGTGGTATGCTAGCAAATGCAGAGGTGTCTCTGTGGGTCTCCGATTTCACTGGGACAGACAGAACAGAACAGTGACCGCTTGGGGCTTTTTGGAGCTAATCAACAAGTCAGCTGGTAAGCTGTTTAAGAAGAGTTTGAACTAATGGAATAGAGGCTATTGTTTTGCTGATGAGGTGATAAACACTGTTATCAGCCCCCTGCTGGCTTGCTTGCCTGTCAGTTTGCTGTAGACAGTATAAAGAAGCAGGAAGAGGGAGATTGAAAAGCTCCATATCATCAATAGATGCATGCACTGCACACACCCC